CCTAATAAGAACAGATGGAGACCATCTGAGGAGGATGATTGGAGGTCAGACGCATTTTTGCCATGGTAACTGTCTCCCAGGTAACAGTTTCAGAAGCCCCTCTTCCCCTTCATCCTAATTTCCTTCTAACCAAAGTTTTCTCTAGTTGACTGTCTTCTCTCCTTGTCCTCCTTATCAAAAGGTTTGCTTTTGTCCTTGCTAGCATTTCTTTATTTTTTTTACTTTCCCCTGTCTTTTTTTCTCGGCTCAATCAATCACTTTTTTCCAACACAATTGTTTCCTCCTCTTTAACTTGCAACTTAACTCTTCCAATGAATCCAATAATTTTTCTGATTAGTCTGTTCATCACAAGTGTAGGGGAGCCATTGATTACCAGCAGCATCTTCACAAATGATAAAACAAGAGACCAGAATGTGTCAGAAAGTCACAGCAATTGACTCCCAGTTTATTAAAAAATCAGTTGAGCATCAGCACTTATGGATCTCGGACTTGATAAGGCTTCAGAATGTGGTCATTACTCATAACCACCATCTAATGAAAAGTGTTTACTGATGGGATTCTGGAGCTTTTTTTACCTCATTTCTTGGTATTGGCGGAGCTAAATAGCTATTTTCAAGCAGGGGCCTGACTTTACAGCACAGTGCTTGAACAGCACTTCCACACATAAAGAAAAAGGCCACAACAGGCCGGGTTGAAAAACATCTCACGTTAAGATTAAACATTCTGAAGTGATTTTATTATTCTGACATTTTAATCTGTTTTTCAGGCTTTGTTGGAGCTACTCTATTTACGTACATTCTAAAACAGTAATTCTGTGTGTTTCTGAGGTAATGTAAAAACTCTCTCTGGAAGGACAAAGTTAAAAACTAATAGTGAATGCCTGTAATGATAAGTATATAAAACAACAGGAGCAGATCTCTGCATGGACAATCATGAAAACCAGTTGCTGTAAACGTGGTTTAAACCTTCATTTCAGACCTTCGACTTGTTTCCATGGTTCCTGTTTATTGTGTCAATTAATTAGACTCATTTTGAACACAATGTGAAATTCTGCTGTCATGAAATTAATTATTTAAAACAAACAGCAAATGCTTTTCAGGAAATCTGATTTGTATGGAACTATTCAATTGTGGTGAGATTCTGGGATTAATCAGCATGCAGGGAACTCAATTTTCCAAAACAAAACAAAAAAAGCATAAAGTGGATCATAGACAATGGACAGTGTGAATTTCTCACTTCCAAAAGCAATAGCAGAAGTTAAAGTAAAGCCGTTGGGAATGAGTAAGTATATTAATCCAGAAGCTTGGAATATAAAAATCTCACCTAGTCAATTCTCAGATGGGAATCATCCATCCAAGTCAAACATGAGACATTTTAGTCCCAACATGAAGGCTTGTTAAAATCAGGACCTAGTGAGATGTTTTTTTCTCTGAACAGGAGCCTGAAGCCTTTTGAAAGGTATACATTTCATCTGCTGACTCGGTTATTTGCTAAGACGTGATATTGATCTGAAGAACTGCTGCAACTATTTTAGTGCAAAAAAAATTGAAAAAATAAATGAATCGCCACTTGAAGAAATGATTGTTAAGACAAAGTGCTGAAAGAGACTTGATTCAATCTGAGAAAAGAATCTAAAGAAGGAATCTAATATTTCACAGGTGGAACTTCTGTACAGTGATGGGACAAACATTTTCTGGTTATTTTTCTCGTAAGCTTTGGTTAATGTGATATTGTCAAAATGAAGGAAGTGTATGTCTATATTCCCAAAATCTTTAACAACATAGGCCATGTATCATAATTGTTCTAATATTGTGGATCAGAGGATTCACAGTGGTTCACATTTACGGCAGTCTATATTATCATCTCAGGATTTATGAGGCAGAGCACATGCATTGTACTTTGCCAGGCCAGAATAAAAAAGGCAATTTAGCGAAACTCAACTAAGCTGCCACTTTTGAGCATTTCTTATGTGGTCGTTACGAATAGCTCAGTCTGACTTTGGGGTAAACTCGTTCAGACGTACACTCCTGGGGACAATCTCAACTTTCTGGAATGTTTTCCACACATAGACAATCTTTCTCACCGCAGAACAATGGGCTCATTCTCTTTGGATATGGCCTTGTGACCTTTACCAGGTGTGTGGGCAGCTACATATTGCCTATCTAAGATAATCCCAGTTGTCTTTCCTCGCTGGCATTTTGTTAACACACACCTGATTGTGCATATGATCAGCCTTGGCTGCTACTCACCCTCCATTGTCCCGCTGTGGGAACCGGGCTCCAGGAGACCGATCATTCCAAGCAGACTGTGAATGGATCATAGCATTTACACAGTTTGGACTGTGGATACTTTTAAGAGGCGGCTAAATATATTTCGGTACTGTTCTGAACTTCAGTTATTAGGAATGTTTTTTTTGTTTGTTTTTTGCATGAACTTGATAACGGTGAGGTTGTTCCAACTCACTGTTAGACCTTCACTTTTTCTCATCTTCATTCTAATTACTATTCATTAGTCCTTTTATTCATCCTTTGAGATGCAAAGAGGTTATTTTTATTTTATTTTCTTACATTTACGTGTAGTGAAACATAAGTGAAAAACAAATGTAAGACCCAGTTTAGTTTGATATGTGAAATCGATGTTCTTTCGTTGAAATACACTATTCAGCTTTCGAAATATTTCAGCAGCCTTTACTCTCCCTGAATCCTGGAAGAACATTAAAACAGAGTGACATAACACCACAAGTGCCCTATATCTCAGCTGCTGTCAGTCCTCTGTTCACAGCAGACTTCTCCACGCGAATGCAGCATTCGCATAAAACAACTGGCACAACTTAAACGATACAAAATAATAATGCAAATGTGGACACATAATGAAAGGAGAGTAAAGCAAACACAGCGGAGACCTGTCATATTCAACACAAGCGCAGCTGCACAAAAAGCTGCCAACTTCAGAAACATGCTCATAAATACGGAGCGAGGTCCAATCCAATAAGCAGAGAGCTGCCATATCGTGCTCCAGGAGATCACTTTTATGGCAGGAAAATGTGCGAGACCGCACTCAGCACACGTTAACAAAAGGTGTCTCTGGTCAGACCCACGCACTGCTCCAAAAAATCATTTGTTCACTAAGGAAACTGAAGGCAAACACAACATTTCTGAAATAAATAACTGAGCATAAAAAATATAAGCAAATGTTTTTAGATCCTTTTGAATTTTTGTTCCTTTTCAAACTTTTGTATCGTCACCTAACGTGAGTCTGTAGCTGTCCATCTTTGGTTTTTCTAATGACATTCAGCAGGTTGAGGTTTTATTAAAGGCAGGTTGGCAGCCAGTAAGGAAACGCATGCCAATCTCCTGTCATTAGGATTCACTGGCAGCATATGATGAGGCCATATGGGCTATTAACAAACCCAACCTTTCTGCAGATGGAAGGGAGGGAAGTAGAAAAGACAGTGTGACCCAGCCATATGGACAAGAAAAATATAAAACCAAAGAAACGGAGGTAAAGATGGATGGATCTGGCAAATCTTCATGAGCAGTTTGCACGTCCCATTAGCATTAATTACACATGGGTGGGTGGAGGACGGACGGATGGACGGCTGTGACAGGTAAAGGTGATGATAACCGCGGAGAGAGGAGAGCGAAAGAGGAAGAAGGGCTTCATGGGTGGGATGCCCCCTGATGGAGGCAGTTAATTAGCTTTCAACAGCTGACAGTGTTCCTTTCTACAACCTGCAGGAGAGACCTCATGATCACAAGATCCCCTCATTTCAGCTGAAATGACAGAGCAGAGCGAATTTCAACATGTTTTCTGCCTTTTTAATTATGACATGAGAATAAAACTTCAAGAACTATGTGACATCAACGAGTCACAAAGTTGTGGGTTTTGCTCAACGCTAATGCTAATAGACACCCCCTTCAGGCGAGCAACGGGAGGTTTTACAAACTGAGTCGGTCCTGAGTTTAGCTGTAAGTCGGCTAAGTGCAGTGTAAACACTGCTGGAATCTGAATACCGCCACCTACTGCTTTTTTTACTCTGAGAGTCAGGCATAAATCATGGTCTAAAATAAGCTTGATGAGTAAACCAATTGGTGTATCAGCAGATATTAAGCAAATAAATTACCGCCCCTTTTCCTGACTTCTCACCTCCGGATCGACGAGCCAATTACGGTGATGTCTGACAACGCTTGCTCCTGTGCAGAAGGCGCCTTAATTAAGTCACCAACTACCATCCGAGCTACGTTTCCCTCTGTGAAGTGAAACATGTCATATCTGGTATTAGAATAGAAAATCAAACACATCTATAAAGGGCTTTTCCCCATTTTTGGTGGCAGAAGTCCGATTACTTTGTTTGGGCTCATCTTGGTCACATCACATTCCCAGCTTGGAGTAAACATAGTACACCTTATTAAATTTACCTCCATCCAACACAAGATTCAAATTGTTATTGAATAAATGAATAAATAAATGAACAAATACTATTATATTCCACACATGCACTACATGCACCACATAATCTGATCTATGGTTGACGAGTACATTTATCAGAATAAACTTTAAAAAAAAGCAAAATACATAAAAAATCATCGTCTTTAAATATACTGCAAATCCCAATGTCACAGTATGATTTGATTATACATCTTTCTACATCTACATCTCATTTCAAATGAAAATTGCATCTGAAGCACACAGATGTAAAAAAAAAAACATTAGGAGCCATCAAGTGGTTGGTCACCCCAAAAAATAATTAAACTGACATCAATGGTTAGGCAGACATTTCATTTTTGTCCAGGAGGATAATGAGGTCATGCTTTTGGCTTTGTTGAAATGTTCTGTGTTACTGACGGGTGTTACTTTGTTTTTTTTTATTTATCTGCTCAGACTTTGCAAATACATAAGACTACAATTGAGAAGCTGCACAGTTTTTTTTTTCCAGCAACGGTTCATCTTTGTTTTATTTCATACAGAGAATGTGAATTCATCTCCAGAATGGCTGAATTATGAGGCAGGCGTCTGTGCAGCAGCTGATTTTGGAGCCTCTGTGGAGCGACGTGTCACGAGCAGCAGCCAGTGTCATCTGTCAGACAGAGAGAGATGGATGGAGGGTCGGAGTCAGAGATGAAGCCTGCACCATCTGGACCATTAAGATGTCAGACTGCAAATGAAAGAAAGACCCAGAAGATAATGCCCAAAATGCTCGATTCAGCTGTGGTCAGATACTCGAATATGAAAATGTCCCTCAAAGCAAAGCAAAAATTGGTGTTTTTTTGTTTTTTTCACGACTGCCAGCTGATTTCATCTGACCATGTGCTGACGTGCCTTTTTGAACAGGATGCTGATTGGACTGATCAATGAGACAGAAGCGGAGATTTCTCAGACATGTGGTGAAAAAGTGTCTGGATGATGCAGAAACCAGATGACAGCATTTGGCTCTGAGGAAGAAGCAGAAAAGAATGCCATCTTGTTTCATATTGACAGGATGAGAAGCTGCTCTGTCAATCTGTGTTCAATTTATTTTGTTTGTAGCCATCTACTGCCATTCCGTCAAAGAGGGAACTCAATATGCAGAGGCAGTGAAAATGACATTACATTTAAACGTCTTCAATAACAGCAACAAAGTGTCAAGTGTCTGAGCTTAATTCAGTGTTTCAACACAGTAAAGCATTTGATATAACTGTCTTCTTTTCTTATCAATACAAACAATTGACAGTTAAAAAGATCAAAACAGCCTTTGGACCGAGACAAGTTGTCATTTCATAGCATTGATTAAAAATAATGTGAGTTATGGCCAAATCGAACAAACAACGTCAGAATTCAAGAGCAAACAGACATGGAGCAAATGGCTGCAAACAGGGACATATTAGAAACTGAACAGAATTGAACCCCAACAAACAAGGTTGGCCCCAAAGAATAGACGCCATTTATCTAACAGGATATGGAAAAAGAATGGGAGGTGTCTATTTACTAAAAGAGGGATGACTGATAGTGAGCAGGTGTGTGTGATGGGCAAAATGTTTTGAATAAAACAGGAAGTGAATAAAAAGCTTCCTAAACTGAGAGAGAAATAAACATAAAAAAAAACAAAAAAAACAAAATCTTGACAGAAAAGGGTTGCTTCAATTAATAACCTCCAGCATCGTTTTCCCTGAGGTTTTACACAGCTAACATGATAAAGCTTCATTAAAAAAAATCTGCTCTGTGAAATAAGCCTGCTGTTTTTCCATTTCTGAAAACAAACAGACCATCTATTTAAACTTAACTAGGAATTTATTAAACCAGTCCTATTGGCTTATTTTCCACAGAGTGACTAAGAGCTGGGCAGCAGGTTGTTGTGATGGTGAGCAAAGTGTCCTCACGGCCAGAGGGTTCCCGGTTTGAATCCCTGGGGGCACTGGGGGGCCTTTTTGTGTGGAGTTTGCCTGTTCTCCCAGTCCATCTATGGGTTTTCTCATCCAACTGCCCAAAAACATGCATGCAGGTGAAATGAAGATTCCCAATTGCTCGTGGGGGTGAATGTTTTCTGTCTGTTTTCTCCCTGTGTGGCCGTCACACCGGTGTGGGGTGTACTCTGCTTCGTGTCCAATAGCTGCTGGGAAAGCCCCCTGCAACCATGGAATAAACGGTATAGCAAATGGCTGGATCGATGACACAGAACCGCAAAAAACAAAAACGAGTCGGTGATAAAAAACGACAAACCCACGATAATCTGTGAATCGAAGTTGGCAAAACTTTCAGACTTTTGTATAGTTTCATTGAACTGATTGTTGTGGTAATACTGGTAGGAAAAAAATCTATCCACTGATATGAAACCCTGAAACTGAGAAATGAATCAGAGCACATTCAGATATTGCAGCTCATCGATTGTTGAAACACTGTTGTTCAGTAAATCATACAGCAGGACTCAACCCACTCCTCTTTCTCACCAACAGAGGTCCATTTCCTCCCCTTCTCCTTCTCCTGCAGAGTAAGGGATGAATGGAAAGGGAGCCATCTGTGGAGCAGGTGCATGCTGGGAAGAACAGATTGTAGGGAAAGAAGCATGGAATGAAGGAAAGGAGGAAAAAGGTAAGCAACGAGTGGGAGCAAAAAAGGAGAGAGAAAGGAGAGGGGAGAGAGTATGAAAAAAAAATCAGGCCCATTCAAAGAGAAGCACTGTTCAGATTTAGTTTGAGAAATGGAAGGATCTGAAACAGAAAGAGCTGGGACTTCAAAATGCAGTAGACATTGTTATGATAACCCTGTTGGAAAAAGCAGTATCCCTCTCAGTTTTACTCTTAGAGAATACTCTTTCTATTGTCTCCGCCTTTGTTTGTAGCATTTGTGAATTCCTACAGCGCCTCTGATCAGCAGAAGGTCCGTTTCGCTTTATTCAACATAAGAAAATCTCCTTAGCTCAGTAACAGTACACGCTTGACAGCAGTGTCACCTGATGTGTGACATTTTTTTAACTTAAAATATTTACCATATCTACATAAAATGATTTTTATTTAAAAAAAAAAAAAAGCCCAGCCACAAAGCAGCTGAGACTAACTCTGAATGTGCAAAAGACCACATTTTATTTTGGACAAAAGCAACTAATGGAAAATAATTAGGTGATGCTTCCATTTTAATTGGTTACCATTCATGCTGCTTTGCTAAAGGAACGTGGCAATTTTCCTCAATTTTGATGAATGGACTCTAGTCGGACTATTATCTAGGTGTCAACTGCTGAAACATGGAAAGACAATAGTGTAGTTCATTTAGTAGAAATTGAACCGGAGAGCAGCATCCACTGGAACATTTGCCGACCAGCTGAATCTGCTGTTCATCATACCGAAACAGGAAAATTGCCCATAAAAAGGAAATTGAGTGAATATTCATTGACCTTTACCTCCCACAGTGACAGACCAAACAAAGGTTCAATTGCCTGTCAGCCAGTTAGGGAGTGACAATAGTTATTTTTGTAGTCTGGTGAGGCGGGACTCAGTTTGCCTTTTAAGATCAGTGAGGAAACTGAAAAGACGCATTATGAATCACTCAGTAATCCTATTCATCACATCCTCTTGGGGAGATTGTGAAGAAGCTACATGCATTCAGTTTTCTTTTGAAGAACTGTTATGACTTAGTCCTGGCAGATATGGAGGAACTCCTACCCTCCGCACACGCACAAGTGCACACATTGCTGTACATAATCAGTCCCATTTTATGAGGTTCTGACCCCATAATGGGCTTCTTTTTTCCCTGATCCAGTTCTTTGTCTGAACTTGAACAGAACAGACAGCAGAGATTATCTTCGGGAGGAAAAAGCGAAGAAGACTCGAGGAAATAAGGAAGGAGACAAACAAAGGGCAGGCGAGGTTTGGGTGAAATGAGGCCATCAACTCTTGGAAGAAACACCATATTATTATCCTCTCGGTTTAAATTCAAATTGTTAAGAGTTTTCACTGGAGTCAAGCTAAGGTCAGGTTGACCTACATGTTGACTGAAAAGCAGAAACTTCTTGAAGTCATTGAAGCTGAGCACAAATTTAAGGTGCAGATAATTAAGGACATTCACACAAATATACTTTAAATCTACATTTATTATATAGGCAGCCATGCACCGAAACCACAAAGTCCTGCAGCTTTGAAATGAATCATGTGCAACCCACTAAATTCACAGACATAAAGCAGAACATTTCCACAAAAATGACCTTGTTTAGTTTTTTTCAATGGCTCTCATTAACTTTTGTCCGCTGGGCTTTAATAAATATATGAAAATGGAATAAGAGTAAACCCAAGAGTAGGGCTAGTGAGGCAGTAACTAATATGTCTTAACACGAGATGGAACAGTAACTATCTTCTTTTCCCTAGTTATTTCATCATCTAATCGTGGTCACCTCTGCCTGAGAGACTAAAGTCAGTGAACAGAAGTACACTGCAATTTTAAAGAAAGTCCAAATGTGCTGCATTAATTCACCAGGTCCCCCGTCAACTGACCACATGCAGTCAAAATGTTTGGATCCATGACGTGCCTATGGGAGGCTTCTGCACAGCTGTGGCCAAAAGTAGCGTGTGTGGAACTGCATGAGTTTGCGGACACAGAAATGCGTGTGTTTGGCTCACTCGGTCCTACCCTCAGACGCCCGTACATCTCAGACATTAGACTAGAGCGTTGGTGCAGCTGCAGGAGGCCGATCCCCGCTTCTGCCAGCCTCCACATCATGTACAAATACATGTCAGACACATACAAATAATAGCAATGCCACCACCTCATTGGATATGCACACAGCGGAACACCATCTGCGGGACCATATGTCACCTTCATCTCTACGGGAGATGCACACACACACACAAGCGCACACACACCTGAGACCAGGTGTAAACAAGCTTGTCTCCCAGCAGATGTTTTCTGTCACTCTGCGTATTGTTCTTCCACTCGACCACCTCCGAGTGTCTGTGTGTTTATATGCACGTCTTACTATCTTTGCAGGGACCTGCGTCTGTTTGGCATATTTGAGCCTCACCGTTGGGATTGGACCACCAAACAGCTCATTAATGATACGCGGTTCATTTTGGTTTGGGGATAAGATCATGAAATGTATCTACCAGAGTCCTCACAGTCACTGGAATCCAAAACGAGTGATGTGCGCATTGAAGTTCTGACAGCCGTGACGTCTCTGAAACCCCCCCGGTGCCTTTTCAAGAGCGTACCACTCACACATGTGCCCACACAACGTGTGTTACAGTAGGTACTGTAGTTTTCAAAGACACACAGGCGCTGTGACACAGATCAGATGGTGACAGCAGGAAAAAATGCAGCACCCCGTTGCAGCTAAAATTACTCCCTCAGTCTGACAGCTGTAGATGAAGCTGCGACAAACACATATTCATGCACTTTCCGTGGCTGCAGACTGAACCTCTCATTACTGACTGGCAGTTTAGAGTGGGAGATTCATTACTTCACTGCTGATGCGACATAAACTACCAGAACTAGAGTGACCAGACATCCCAGTTTGGGAGGAGCAAGCTTCATGTTTGGTTCATTTTAGCTGTAAGCATTATCATGTCTAATCCCAGATATTCATCTCAGCAGAAGTCTCAGTAGAAAAGATCTTTGCATCAGTGAAATGAACTGCAAGAACAATGAACTACAAATGTGCATGGATATAAGAAAAAGAGTGGCAAAGAATTGCATTTTTGCAAAAATAGTTTCTGATACACATAAACTACATGCAAATGTATCAGTGGTTTCTTCAGGTTTCCTTCTTTTCAGGCACTGAAATTATTTTCTATTATTTCCGCGCTTGATTGTGGAGCTGAAGTCTGGCATATGCAGCCGATCAGGTGGGATTCAAAACCAAACACAAACCATTGCATAGCATGAGGCAGTGAAGCGGGAAGAAGCAAAGTACGCTGGGACAGGGGATTCGGCTCAACAGCATGTTGTCAATCACACAAGGCGAGCATTATTCTCAGAGCGGGCGACCAAAGCCCTGAGACGAGATCCTACCAGTGACAGAGAGGGAATGACACGCTCGCAGACAGATTCATATTCATAGTCACACATGCTGCCAGCCTGAATGCACATGTTGAAATTAAACTCACAGAGGAGAAACACGTAGTCCCTGCCTCTCAGCTTCCAGAAAGCCAGCGGTGGCCAGGGAACACTTTGCAAAGTTCTAATGCTCTTTTGTTTTTTGACATTTCTGGGACATTTTTGTCATTTTGGTTAAAAACCGCCGTTCAAACATTAAAGTGTCTTCTGGTGTTTAAGGGGAGTCAATAGTGTGCATTCCAGTTTCTCCCCTGAGCTTGAACTTACTAGACTGTTTCCCCAAGAAATATCCATAGGTAGTCAGTGCAAACAGAGCCTAAAAATGTCAAGCAGTCTCTTTTTTAAATACTATAGGTAAGACCTTAAAAGTGGCTTTTAGGTTTTTGCCTTTGGTCATGGCAGGATAAATGTAACCACTTTTCTGTCTTTATATTTTGTGTACGTGAAATGAGCTCTTTGACCATTTTATCCAATGAGCAATGGGTCATGACATCATGAGGCTGTCGTACTTTTTGGTCGATGCTCTCAAAAGAGCCACACGCCTTTGCCTCGAATTTTTTACATGGTTTAACAAAAGCATTTTGACAGTGGTGCAAAAAAGTTTTACAAAAACGCTTCGGAGGCCTCATAAATAAAGGAGATTTATGTACAGCCCGCACGTCAAGACATCAAACACCCTCCAACAAAAGAAAACCAGTGTGAGCAAAGCAAATGGGTTGCCAGTTGTGGGACCTCACAGTGTCACACGTACAAACAAAAGCCGACACTTGTAGAAGGAAAAAAAGTGTTTTACTCTCCATTCAGAATCTGTCACCGCGGCATGATGTACAAAACAGACATATGTGTGCACCACAACCTTTTTCCTGGTGACGGCTCAGTGTAACCATGGTGACAGGCTGATTTTCGGGGCCGTCTGACCTGGGTGATATTTACCGTCAGACGCATGCTGAGACAACACAAACATTTTGACGTGGCTGGAAGCAGGAGCTTCCTCTGGATAATTGAATGAGTCCCTTAATGCAGATTTAATTGAGCAACTCAGTCCATTTGACTTTTTATTTCTTTCAGTCCCCATGAGTAAGTATGAGTCATAGTTTTTCTTGTCTTGCATTTAGCAGTAGATGAAAAAAACAAATGACTTGAATTTTCAGCCTATTTACTATTTTTATTTTTCTCAGCATATTTACGTCTAAGTGCCCATCAGAAAACTGAAACTTACACGAGTTACTGTTTCTTCTCTCCAACATTTACAGCTACGTTTAAAAGAGCCTTTGAACTTTGGCTGGTGGTGGTTAATTATCCACTTGTTAGAGAAGCTATAGAAGACTTTTATCTCTGTAGGCACTTAAGACCCCGGGTAGGGCCATACGTTACTGGTGCGGCTGGTTTTGCTGCTGTAAAGCAAAATCCTCACAGGAGTTCCTTGCAGGGTTCTTTACAGATACTTTGGCTTTGTCCTGTTTTAAAAAACTGCACGCTCAGAGTGATCCTCAGAGTGAATGTGAGCGTGCAGGGCTGTTTAGCTTGCCAAATGACAGCTATTATGGGCTCCAGCCCCCCAGGCAGGACCCCGATTTGAATAAACAGAGAATCGAATAAAAGTAACATAACTTGTGGGCTACATGTACAGCAAATAATTTCACACACTCATGAATCCCATAAAGCTAATAGGGAACTCGACCCGTTCAGCTAACTTTAAAGCTTAAATGCTTTTAATGCGTTCTGTAAACAGAAAACACGTTTGACATGTTTGCAAATGATGGATAAGGATCCCTTATTCATAAAATGTGTTAAAAAAGAGCAAAGCAATCATTTCATCCGAAAGCACACAAGGGCTGCAGGTTTCCTTCGCTTCTGTCCTAGGTGATTGATTGATTTGATCCCCTGATTGACCGATCCAAGAGCAATTTAAGTCTGCTTCATCCTGTGTCTTTAGATTAAATGAGGCTTTTCGGCAAGTTCAATATTAAGGATCTGATGCCTTGATGGTTTGCGAGTGTTTTAACGCTGCTCTATCATTTCCAGGCCCCCCATTTCCAGACTTGTGCAAAAAAGTCTTGCAAAATCTCTTTTTGTGCATGGAGTTGTCTGTGGAGGGGAAAAAAGGGGAGAGGAAGGAGAGAAAAAAAACTCATCGGTGCCCACAAAGCATTTTTGAGTTTAAACCCTTCAAAGAGTGGCAGAACGAGGCCAAGCAGACAGATGGCATAATTCGGCTCCAAAATAGGAAACCCATTAACAGCGAGCTGGCAGATTTGTCAGTGGTGTCCGACTCAGACCGCCTCAGTGACCTACGACCAAGTTCTTGCTTCACTAATCGAATCGCTTCATTTCCTCATCCTCTAGTCTCATCGGACACGCTCTCCCCTAGACACTCATCCTCTTCTTCTTCTTCTCTGAATAACGCTGAGCAGAGCTGAAAGAGGAGCCTCATATGTGCTGGGCTCTGGGATTATGAGCCAGGGTGTAAAGCTGCAGGAGGTAATTGGTTTTGGGGGGGAGGGTGAGAAGTGGATACAATTTCACTGAAAAGAAAACTCTGGGTGGAAGTATGAAGTTTGTCAACTTGCTCTGCTAATGGGAGTAAACACACTCAGAATGGTTCTAAAAGATGCTTTTCATGGGATCTCCTCTGAACAAGATTAAGACACAGCTGAGAACAGCTGCTGCAGCAGGAAAAGGAAATGCAGGCGGAGGGGGTCAGTATGCCTCCTGGAACTAAGCCCGGATAAAAATGTAATCCTACAAATTATATTTCCATTTAAAACATTGAGCAGACACGCTGATCCAGACAGAAAGAAGACTTGAAGTGTCTGGAAACCTTCTTGGGTGAACATCCACATCCACAGACCTGACACGTTTCCCATATTGAGAATTTATCAAATCTCTGAGCAGTTGTGAACAGCTACCAGTTGAGATAAACCTTAATGGAAATTTACAAGCAAAGGAGATGTAGGTATAAGAATTATCAATGGATTTATTTTTTGCTACATTAATGGGTGGTAATTTTGTCATCTTCTGATCCAAATCCAAAAGAATTAAAGTTGGCCAAATGTTATCTAGGTTCTCCTGAGTCCCTCGCTAATCTTATGTTGTATTCAGCCCATTCAGCATAAAATGAATTTCATTCCCCATAATTTCAAGACTATCTTGTCAGGACAGTTGCAGGTCAATGATAAGCACTGTGGCCACAACCACAACATTTGGATATGGTTAGAGTTATATGTCACACAGAAACAGTCACCATATTTTATAATGTCAAAATATATTGGTTCTATGCTCTCACCTCAACACACAACACCTCCATACAGTAATATGGTTCTCTATTTGTTACAGGACCTAATAAATAAAATCTCAACTGTTTACCTTGTTTTATTATTATTTTATAATTTTACCATTCCATAATTTTCAGTAATGCAGAGCTGGTGTTTCCCTACAGATTAAAATCTCAGGATCCTTAAACTTGAAAGATGCATCCTGCAGGGGGAAGCCTAAAGTTTTATGGGTAGACATCATGCTGAGCTTTGGACACAAGCTGATCTCACTCATCCGTCATTTGTCTCCTCATAGAATTATACAAAACTTCAAAATTTTATTTGAAGAAACATAAAGACAAAGGATTTCTAAAGCTGTTCACCCTGACCAAAAATAAAAAAAAGTCGACAATTTCTGACATGTAGCTTTTGAGTGCCGTGGGATTGAGTTTTTATGGCAACTAGTACCTCATCAAACTGCTCTGCAGGGTTTAATTTAATCGGCCTTGATCAGCATTAACAGGAACACACCCAAGTGTGCACATTTTCCGTGAGTGTGGTCTGGAAGCGTGACCACGGCTCAGTGTCTCTTCTGAGGCGAACATTTATCACTGGAACTGCCTCACATGCAGGCTCTGAAACTGACAGCAGCGGCACAGAAACAAAAAGAGACTAGATTGATTGATTTATAGCAGTCTGCAAGAGAGCCGATTGCTCATGCTCAGCTTTGCAGACTCCTCTAGGCCCAGTCAAAACATTTTGCTCGAGACTTTTGCTGCTGGTCATAGTCTGCAGAAAGTAAAGATTTGAAAACGATTTAAGTTGTCCTCCACTTTAAATAAAAACACATCTGGAGGATGCTGTTGTGGATGCGAGCCACTTTAATCCAGCTTGTGTGCGACCCAGCTGCTGCGTGTAATCTAAAGTCCCGACTGAACCAGCAAACTCCCATCGTCCAGCTCAGGGTGTGTTCGTGCATGTTGTCGCCATATTGCGCTGTGGTGTCACAGAGATAACTCCTGTTCATCTCGCAGTCCGAGGAAACTCATACCGGTATGAAGATTGATGTGTTTATCAGGCGGGCAGCAGACCTGGAAGCGATGTAGCACCTGTGTAAAATAAGCCCGGCATGCTCCAGGCAAGGCTAGCTGTCAGCTGGAGGCAAGGAATTAGCATGTGACTACTGACTTACGTGAGACAGATCAGCAGAGAAAAAACACAACAAGAATTACAATAAACAAAACTAAACCAATTCAACCAGTCACATACTAACATAAATGATGTAACAGCAGCAGAAAGTTAAATGGCGTATCTGTATGTAAATCTCACAGATGCATGATATATTTAGCATATTTACTTGTTTATTTCATGGGTTTCAACAGAAAGTACTAATTAAAATGCATCTTTAATTATTGCTTTGATTAACTTCACAATCAATGTGTAACATGCAATTATACCTCTCCTCATCCAGTTCTGCTGGAGAATTTCTGCACTGTCAAATTGCTTTTCCTTTTCACAGTTTTTCGCAAAGGGAGGAAGCAAATCATTTGAATTGATTAATGCAGTAGCAACACTTATAATTACTACCTTGGAAGTTGAATTTCTTTTTATTGCGCGTTTCTTCTGCCGCGCTCTTTTTCCTAAAAGTGATATTCGGTTCACCAGATGTGTTGCATCACTTGAACATCCTTTCCTGAATTATTTAGAATAGCAGAATCCGAAGTAATTCTCCTGGGCAGAAAGTATTTACATTTGTAAAACTGATACAATGGACTTTTTCTCAATTTTTGCTTGCATGTGCCTCGTCTGTACTAAAGTAAAGTACAAATGACTGATCTCTCGAAATTTTGAGGAACACAAAACAGAATGGCATTGATCATCAGTTTTCTTCTTTTCTTGTATTTACTTGTGTGCTTAGCACTGGCTAGAGTATTGAATGGGCTCATTAGCCCACAAATTAAAATACAGTTTTCTACCTATTAGGGAACGTAAACAACCTTTAAGAGCCAGCATTGAAGCTTTTTTCATAATAACACAATAAGTACTGCTGTGCAGCATTTTATTAATGATCAGACTTTATCGTGACTCTCCTTCGAACTGAACAATGATCTTTTAATAACTACTCATTGTACACATACATTAAATCTGTTTATTGTAGTTTATAATTTGTGTGTTCTTTGTAGGGCCATCCCTGCTCATCTCAGCATTTACACAACACTGGAAACCATGAAAGCAAAGAAATTACTCTTTGCTGGAAAATAGTGACAAAAAGACATCATTTCATTGAGAAAAATTTGGCTCATATTGTCACACCTGGGGGAAATGTTGGTGTTTTTGGTCTTGTCTCCATGTTGTCTTGTCATTTCCTGTTTTATTTTGAAAGATGCATCCCCTTGTTTCAGGTCACTTGCACTTCCTGTTGTGTTCCCAGTCTGTCTCCTTGATTACCTATTGTGTACACCTGGGATTCCCTTCCCTCATGTGTTTAAATAGTCCTCGTTTCCCCTTGTCTTGTGCGAGTGCGTTTTCGTCTTTCGTCCGTCTTGTCCGTCGTCTCCCCCACGCCAGGTCTGTTTGCCATAGTTTTTGTCATAGTCACAGTTTTGCTACAGTTTTGTTAATCTTTATTTTGTTACTTTGTCAAGTCATAGTTTTTGCCACAGTCTTGTTTGCTCATTGCTTTGTTACTTTGATCACAGTTTTCCACAGCTTTGCTTTGTACTTTGTCTGGACTCTGGTTTTTGTTACAATAAACCTTGTTCCCCTCATTCCGCGACTGAGTCCTCCCGTCAAGAACCACCCCCCTGACACATATGTTTATTTCCTCCATGCCCTCTGTTTTTCTATCCAGAAAATGTGTTGTTTACACTCATCATAACGGACAGGGTAGAATAACTGAGCCGAACACGCAAATACATTAAACTCCGAAGGACATTGTTATTCAGACTCTTAAACCGCAACAATAAGAGCAGTAAACTGATTCAAACCAGGAATGACTTTTGAATTGTGAGTTACTCCTCTGTCAGAAGAGTTCTCAGCTCTTCCTGTGCAGGCTGAAACTTTCTCTCCTCCCTGAACGAAGCGCATCGAGCTCCCTTTAAAATAAATGAAGGAGTCTGTAAACTTCCCTTTCGCGTTTTTCTGCATCCTCTGACTTAGTTTAACGTGACAGACGCTCTTTAGCACCTCTGTCTGCCAGGAGAGCACATCATCGCTGTGCGCCGCCTCCACAGCAAACCCCCCCCCCCCCCGCCCATCTCATCAAACCACCAGTTCTTATGCCTTATTTCAGCTCAGATCCTTATCCAGCTCTCTCTCCGGCCTGACAGCTGGGAGACCACCTGTCATCCTGCTTGTCAGCGCTGCAGAAAGCAACGCGTGACAAACCGAGATGGACACACACTCTCTCTCTGCTGCTCTTTTAGTGAGGCAGAGTGTGTTTTTGTTGTGCTCGCTGCATATTTTAGGCGTTTATCGTAGATTCTGAGCTGGGAAAATCTGGATGACGACAACAATGATTCAAAAAGTTTACTCCAGCATCAGGTCTCCAACTTGAGGCACCATATGGTTCTTATTTCTATCAAAAATTGACCCATTGTTGTGGTATATTGTATGTAAACGCTATCATTACTTTCTTCAGACTACACAATGAATCTTAGCCAATTTGCGTGGTAAAATACTGTTTTCCTTTTTTATTTTTAACACTAACTGCAAAACAATATCTGAGTGAGATTAAAATGATCCAGTCACAAATATCGAAGCAAATTTTGATTGTAAAAGCAGGGGAGTTATTATGACATTAAGGAGGTTTAGCTCCAATTACATCAGCAAAAGGCTTTCTTTTTATCAGGTAATCCTGGTGAGCATCCTTTTCTTTACTGCTTTCTCCGGGAAGGGTGCATTATGATGGATAATAAGAACAGGGTCAAGATGAGGGTGATCAGGAAGTAATGGTTTGTGATTAGCCTTGACTACCTGGATGTAATAACATAAAAGACCTAGGTCCAAACAGAAAATTATGCTCTGTGTAGTAAAAGCCATCTTTATGATCCTTTTAATGGTCTTTATAGCTATTTCAACTGATTTCGAATATTGATGCTTAACCTAAAACCTTTAGGATCCTTCCATTTTTCCAGCAGAAGTTCGATTTCATGACGAATAGTCACAGCTTACAGATCATAACTGTCAAAAAAGCATTTTAGTTCTTAGTCTGTGGGCTATTGGCAGTCCAGTCAAACTGAAAAATGTCAAATAGTCTGAACAGAAAACTTTATATGGGATGTTGTGCCCTCTAGAAAGACTTTCACTGGTTCATGTGTCCACAATTTCACAGTATGCGTGTCTTAAACCACCTTATTTTTTGTACCTGACCAAGTACCACCTCGTGTAAGGGAGCAGCTGAGCAGTGAGAGAGCTCTCCTACCTGACATTCAGGTATGTATTGTTATCCTCCAACCCATTTTACCTCCAAACACAGGCTATTTAACTAATTAGATATAAATAGCCATTGTCGATGTGTCACATGTTTTGGAGAATGCTGTTTACTCTGTGGGTGTTATTTCTGCGTGCGATGCAGAAGAAAAGGAGCAAAAAATTGTGTTGGTGGACAGGAATCAATAGATTGGGTTTATGTGAATGTTTCAGCTTCCACCATTAGTCCAGGCTGGTAGTCATTGTTGTGCTTGTTCCGTGTGTTTCTCCTGATACGTCAGTGTACCGGGTATCTGCTCCAGACGGGTGACAAATGAGTTTGGCCTCTGGGTATTTATACCGCTGACTTATGGCACATGTTTTTATTGTGATAAATATTGCAGAATATTATAGGCTATCCACCCAGGATGTAAATTTAATCACAGTGACAATTCTGTAGATAGCATGATATTCTATTAAAAAGGTATTATGAAAAAACCGTCCTAAACTAAGGAAATGTATCAATTTCTTTGGGATCATGTTGTTGCTTTTTTTTGGCAGAAAATTGTGTTTAACTGAAATGTAGACTGACACTGCTATTTATCCATTTTCTTTCAAAGATTTTAAGGGCAGGAGTAAAGTCATATTTCCATAACCCAGACAGACTGAATATGAGAGGTAAACAAGAAGCTGAGTGCGGGCATATTCTTTATACATTGTACAGAGTATAAAATATTACACAGATCAGCAAAAAAAAAAGACAAATGAATGTAACGGATGTCTGTGCCTCCATCACTCGGCACAGTTCACCTAAGATCTTAACCACATATTTATCATGTTCATACACACGTTCGAGCTTATAATAGGCCCTGTTTTGACCGTCAGTTTAGTTTATTCTCCATGCGAGGCTGTCAGAGAATAGTTTTTTTAGCTGGTTGTCAGGTTATGTTATTTTGTTCTAGACATTTCTTTTTATTTCTGTCTTTTTTCTTCTCTTTTACGCTGTCCGTGCTTCAACCCCCTGTCATACTTGGCATTGAAATGAACATAAAACCTTAACCGCCATCTATAAACCAACAAGGGTTGAGCATAAAGGGAAGCTTTGTAGGTATAAAACCTCCCTCGGTAAATCAAATGTATTTGGAATACAACAGCCACAGCACCACTCTGCTGCCATGATGCTGGACACTGCCATGGAGGGGAAATCACAAAAATCATCATAATTTTTCATCATGTACAAGTTTGAGTGACGTGGGGATAAAACAAAATTAGAAGTTGTTTCGATATCTTTGATTTCTCTCAAGATAATACTTTTTTTTCTCAGCTGTAATCTCAGGATAGTAAAAAGGTTTGTTCATACACTCATACACATTGCAAATATCAGACGGCAAACAGGGAATGCCTGATATCTCCAGTAATTTAATTCTGTTGTTAGGTCTCGTTTTAGCTGCTGAGGAGGAGAAGTGGGAGTTGAATTTTTTCATTTCTACTCTGACCAGCAAAATCCCACCGCGCTCTTATGAATTTTCTGCAAATACTTTGTGCTCACTTAGAGATTCTTTTCTACAAGTCATCTTGAGAGCTAAACCAAATAAACCAGACCCTAACTTTACCATGATCATTTTGTGATCAAAGGTTTGAGAAAGATCAATTTTGAGGCATCTTGAAAAATGTCCAATCATTTTTATAACAACATCATTTTAAACTTTAAGTCTTCTTTGGAGAAAATTTCCATCACAGATCTGGAGTGAAAAGCCAATGTTTTTTGTGTGTTTTTTTGCTTTTGGTTTGGCTGTCATCATGGGAAAGACTACATCCCGAACGACAGAAAGATAATCTGCTCATTGCAGAATAATAATCCATCTGAAAGGATTTGCTTGTATCAGCTTGTAGATGAGCTCTGATAACAAATGAGCCTCCGCTGTGCATCTGCTGCTGCAATCTCTGCTAATTAGCTGATTTTGTTGGATTCTTCCTCTGCACTCTCGCCCTCTTAGTCATAAAGACATTTGTGTGGAGGAGGAGGGTGAAGAGGAATAGATATCGGAGACGGAATAGGAAAGGGGAGGAGTGGTAGAAACAGTGAGAAATTAATATGACATAAGAAAAGGAAAATGAGGAAGATGTTACAAGATAGGAGAAGAGATAAAGGGGTCTAATATAGAAGGAGAGAGGAGAATCGCAAAAGAAAGATGAGAAATTATGAGAGGGAAGAGAGAGGAAACAAGATGGAAGGAAGTGAAAAAAGGAAACAAAGTAGAGTGCTAACAAAGAGAAGAAAAGTTCTGTAGGGTCAGGAAAAGTGGAGGACAAAATGGGAGGAAAATGCATATGAAGAGGAAGAATATAGGAGAGAGAGACAAGATGGAGACAGACAAACATTAATTTAATTAATAAATTAATCACGACTTAAAAGGAAGGGGCACATTATAGGCAAGAAGGACTAATTAGAAGAAAAAAAACGATGAGGAAGTAAGGAAGCAATATCAAGACAAAGCGGGGACAAAAATCAGTGACAGGAAGTTTAAGAAAAGGGGTGTTACCAGAAATCAAGGAAAATGAGGACAGGGTGAAGAAAGGATGCGAGTATGATTTTCTTAATTTAATAAAGAAATAGAGGAAGACAGAGACGAGGTGAAGGAGGAGTAAATAGGATGTAATCATGTGGTCGCCGGTAGCTACGGCGGCAGAGCACCTGCCCTACAATCATCCTCCATCCAGGCTGTTGAGAATTTCATCCGGCTGTCAGTGAGTGAATGCCCTGCATGGCTGGGACTGTACAGTATATCTTGGTGCAGGCAGGAGTGTATTTTGTCTACGGCATATCTAATGCTGGGGGAACATGAAGCTGGGAACGGAATTTCTTTGCTTAATAAGATGTTCATTTTCAAAACGTGGCATTCTTGCAACTTTTCACTTTCAAAACAGATTGTGAAATAACAAGTAATAGTAAATATTTCTCTCATATTTCCAAACACAAATTACTTTCAGGATAAAAATCAAGGTTTTTTTGCCACCTCAAACGGAGAACAATCCATTTTCACTGAATAATAAATAGAAAATCTTTGTGTACAACTAAATGTTTTTACATTTCTACCTAAAATGCCCTCCAAGAATTCTATTTAAGAGACAGTTTTCTCCCAGAAGGTGTCAAAATGTATTTTCAATCAGAAGTTTTCACTTTCCTTTTAACATTAGTTTTTGTGTCCACATGCCACTCACAGTGTTGAAACACGATTTTGCTTACCTGTCAAAATTTGTCACAATTTTGTCACAAAACCATTTGATTCATTAAAAAAATGGTTTCTCTAAAATGTTTTGACAGAGTTTGCTGTTCTTGGTCTATGTTGGTCTGTTTCTCAGAAGCTGATATTACATTAAAAAAGTTGACCTGTTTGGGCCACATACCTGATTTCTAAATGTTCTACCATCTAAGAAAATTAATCCATATTTCAAAATAGTCTTTAAAAAAATTACTGCAAAAGCAAGAAATTAAAACTTTTAAGTGAGACATTTTCTTCATCAGAAATTCCAATTCACATATATTAAATGCCCTCGGGAGCTAAATTTAAGATTAAGAGGAACCAAAAAGACTTTTGAAAATAATTAGGTCAGAGGCCATGAAATTTGCAGCTTCCTCATTTTGTACGGTTTTAATCTAAAAACCTGCCTGGCAACAGAAAGCATGCAACATTAGCATGTTTCCCTCCAACATCCTTATAAACAGCCGGAAGACAACTCATAAGAGAACTAGAGTGAACACTAATGAACTGGCTGAGAACTAACATTAGCATGGCTACAAACCGCTCATGAAACACTTCAGGAGGAATTGAAATGAAAACTTTTCCTCTTAATTAATTCTGTAATGCAAAATCTGCCTGACAACGATAATTATTCCGCACAAACAACATAACTATGGAGAACTGTAACATCCTTGTGCCTGGATCTAAAATCCTGTTTAGCATACAGCGCTGCTTGTCTTTGATCCTCCCGTGCCCTGACCTGCTTTAGATCCTAGTGAAAACCCCTTATTAGAATATCAAAGTTAATCTATTTTACCCCAAACTCATCTTCTGAGGGCTGAGCGCACGCGTTTCACCTCTGCAGCGGAGCGCTTTCCCCGAGGAGAGCGCTGCAAGCTGCTCTGCGGGGAGAGACTCGGGCTCGACGAGAACAAGGAAACAAAAAGAAGGGAGCTGACAGAATCAGGCCCCTCAAGTTTTACGGGAGCGGTTTTAATGATTTATGCTAATCTTAAACGTTTCCATCATGCTACAGACAACCGCTCCAGCCTCTGCAAAGTCAAAGGTGAGTCCAGATCTGGGCCAGGACTCACAGGGACGGCCGTTCAACTGGGAAACAACGGCCATAAACATGCATCCCATGATGCACAGCAACACTGAGGAGCTGAAGGTTGCCGTACAAATGAGTGGAGTTAACATAAGTTAGTAGCAAATGATAGATGTTCACTGTGAGAAGTAATAATTTATCTAGAATTCTTCAAACTGAAGGGTCAGTGAATCAGGGGGAAAATATTTCTTGTCGTCATGGGTGATGTGGTCGTTTGCCGCGTTGCTTGGCAACGTGGAGGGTCCTGGTTCAAACTCCAGCCGGGGCCTCTCTGTTTGGATGTTTATCCTGCACTCAGCTTCCCTCATCATTGGAAAAAATATTCAATAACATCTGAATATTGACCCTTGAAGTGAATGTGAACGGTCGCGTACCTCCGGAAAGCCCTCAGATGGAGTAGTGATTCATGTTGGGATGGAAGCATGTTCAAACTAAACTTTTTTTTAATTGGCTGTCAATTCAAAGCATCCTGCTTTGGTTGTAGTCTCTCATTTTCTGGAAAACCCTTATTTTTGATAACAGAATGCAATACTGACTGCATTGAGGAGACTGTTGGTATTCTCTCAAATTAATACTTCCAAATTCTTGGGATATGTTAAAAATGTATCAGATTTCAGTTAATCTTATATTGTTTTGATAAGTATTGTTTGGTTTATTATCCATCCCCTTTTTTAATTCATGCTAGTATGAGTTTGGGATGAAAGAAAATGAGTTTCTTTGGTTTTTAAAGTTGGTTGAAATACAGTTTGAAGACCAACAACATCAAACTTCTCATAGAATCAGGTCAGCAATAAAGTCTTTGATATGGAGATGTTTTATTTTGTTTTGCCGAAAGCAGAATTAAAGCAAACATGAGGGAATTAAATTACCTTCAACTCACACAGCTAAAGCTCTACACAAATTAATGCCCGCATGATAATCCAAATTAAACCACAAACTTTTATTTTCCCCCCTCTTTTCTTTTCGGTTTGGCTCTTTTATTTGCATCTTTTACTGGTTTCTTTTTATGGGCGAATACACTTTCTTCCTTTTCTATACAGACAAAGCAGATGGGAGACATTTTCCTTCATTACCACTATCAAAAGCCAGGCAGGCACTGAGTAACAGTGAAAAAATTAAGCTGTCCTTAAAAGGTGATGGCCATTTCTGTTCAGTCCAAGTCTGCTCTTAAGAGGTTTTGATATTGACCTTAAAAGTCAACAATGAAAATGGGTTTGTAATTGATGAGTAAAAACGAACCCTACCTCTGTCACAGGAATAAAGTCTCATTTTTGACTCCATCTATTTTTGTCACGAGTATGTGAACAGGAAAACCTCTGTTCTTTTCAAATTCAGCCTCAACTTTTTTCAGTAGAATGTAGAATAATTACCTCTCCTGCTCATTTTCAGGTTTGCAGAAGAAACTTTGCCAGCCATTAAGCACACAATAAGAGTAAAACGCTTCTGCCGGAGCCTGCAGGTGGCTTGTCCTTTGTTGGCTGCAGATGGCTGGCTCTGTGGCAAAGGATCCATTCCTTATGCAGGCATAAATGGCCATTTCAAGAAGAACTAAAACACAACTACTTTTTCCTTGTATTTTTTCTTATGGTTTAGATTTTTGTAAAACTTAATTTGTTAATCTGAGACTTTTCTGTGTGGAGTTAGCTCACCTCGTCAGCACATGAACCTCAGTTAAACCAATCTATGAACCATATGAACCACTCTATGTCAGATGGTTTCATCACCCACAGTGATGGTCAGGTTATCCTGTAGGTTACCCTACCCCCATTTGAGCTCTCGGTGTAACAGACCCCTCCCCTCAGTCTTCTATGCAGTAATTAGCCTGCTCTCCAGCCTAGCCTTCGCCCCACTGTCAGCCACCATGCTTAGCGCTCACCGCTCCACCACCTGTCTGTCCACTTTCCACCTCAGTTATAAGCCAATCTGCTCCGCCTCTCGCTCGCCCTCCGCCCGCTGCTCTCCACCTGCTCACCTCAACACCCACAGCACACAAATTATAAGGTTATAATCCTCTAACCGTTGTAGTGCTCCCGAGTTCAATCATTTCTGTCGCACAACTCGAAGGCTCGATCGTGAATTTGAGTTCTTCTTTTTAAATCAACATCCAGATATCAGCATTGAATCAACCTGGAACAGATTTTTTAATAAATACCAGACTACTAGAATTACAGAAAAGCAAAAATAGATGCAAAACAAAGATTTAAAAGACATCTGAGCTTGCTTTACACATCAACACGAGCCGGAAGTCAGAGCCGAAAACAGCCCGTCTGGTTCCTAAAGTTCCAGTTTGTGCTCATCCTGCTTTTGTTTACTGACTGATGCCCCTCTTCCTCACCCTTCGACCCCTGACCCTGACGAATTCTACCAATCCCAGCTGGTGGAAGTGTTTTTATCTCCAGTTCTCAGGGAAGTCGATGTGAGTGTTGGCTGGCTGCCACAATCTCCTCTTGTTTGTGAGTTTACTCCCAAATGAGGAATTTGACTGCTGGAAAGTGAAAGTTTTTTTTAAAAACAAGTTGTAAAATGTTTTTCAAGTATCTTCTTTGTTGACAAATATATTCACAATTAAAAATCCTGGTTGCATTCTGTCCTTGAAAGTCCCAGATGTCAAAAAGAGGATCATGATATCTTCACATTTATAGCACATTCTCCACATTTCAGAAATATCTCCGATAAACTGAACTCAACGCAAATATTTATACTGACAAGAAAACCCGTTCTGAATATGACCTTTCCTTGCAATGCCTCCAGTCTTGTTGCTATGCTTTTATTATCATACCATTTGTGCGTTCCTATCTAAAGTTACTTATTTAGCCAGAGATGGAAAGCAGATCTTCAAGTGATTTCAATGCAGTCTGTTTGAAAAAGAAACAAAACAATGTGGGGGAGGTTGATAGGAGAAGGAAGTGGAAAACAAGTATTTTTAGTGATTACTTTATTATGAGAGCAGTTACCTTTGGAAAAGCAAAGATTTTCAGAGCATCATGAAGGTGGAGAGGGCCCCAGTGAAGAGAACAGTTAATTGAGGATTGCCTGAGGTTTGTTTGAATTCAAATGAAATCTTTTTTAAATGTTCCGAGCACAAGATGCAAACAGCTGCTGTAGCAGTGTGTGTGTGTGTGTGTGTGCTCCTCCCGAGGTCCTGGGAACAAGCAGTTCCAGCGCTCCGGGGTCAGCTAGATTCTGTCTGCTGGGCCCTGCCCACGGGACAGCCGAGCTCATCCAGCTCAGAGAAGAGAGTGACCCCCCCTGCCCTTCCCTGGAGCACGTGTCTGTTTCTAACCACAACAAAAACACAGACTTCTGAGATATGCTCAGGTTTATCTGTTACAATTAATTCAGCACCTTTTTTCGCAGCCCTCTTGTACAGTTGTCAAAGCATCAGCCGACCTTTTTCTGCTCTCTCTGGGCTTTTTTTCTGATTTGTGACCGTCCAGGAAAATCATCCGCTAACAGGAAAACACTCATTTGCTTTACAGCCAGCCTTCACCAAGTCCACAGTTTCCCTGCCTTTGTTCCTTTTTGTTCTTTTCCAGTGGATGAGCTCAGGGCGTTCTCCGTGGGGAGAAGCTGATCTGAAGAAAAGCCGAACACCCTGCAGGGATCAGCGGAGGTGCGCGGGGTATCATTAGGCTTTATTCTGCAGAGAGAATGAACACAGTCATTTTAATCTGCTTCCAGCCTAAAGGAGAAAAAGCCTGGAGAGACTGTTGACCATAAACTAACAAAGAGAGAAACTCTTTTCCAGGAAGTCTGAACAGTGCTTAGAATCTAACCTTGACCCAGAAAAGAAGTTTAAGCTTTTTTTTCCCCTTCTTCCCATGGTCGTGTTTTGCTCTTCAGATTGGATAGTGCGGCTGGAAAAGGTTTTAAAGGATCCGCTCTTTCTATTCCTTTATTTACATACTCAAAGGGAAGGAAAACTGTTTTCTCTGTGCTAATTTTAGTGCAAATGTCATCTACATGTGGGGGGAGATTGACAGTGTGCAGAACATTCATGTTCTGAAGCTTTCTTTGCAATTAACTATTTTTTTAACTATTCTTTGGACTTAATGCTTTTTATTATTGTATTTCTCTTTCCTTTTTTATTTTCATTGTTATTCATTTTGACTAAAAAGATTTAAAAAGGCAAGTTCCAAGTTCCAAAAAGCCATGGCTATCATGATCATTCAAAATTAAGGCAAAACTATATTAAATGTGTGCGTGTGTGTGTGTGTGTTTTCTAAGCTTTTTAAAGAAGTAATGTTTCCTGTAAAAAACAGTCAGACGACAGGAGAGAGAGAGGTTTTCGGCCCCACGACGAACCTTCCACTGACCCGTCTCATTTCTCAGTCATGTGGGTTTTGCACTTTTTAGTGTCCAGATTTGACAGCAACAAAGCCTGTCACTCGGCTGTATTGCTGTATTTAATTCAAGTACCTTTAGTATGCAATCGAAGTTGCTGTTGGTTTCCGTCTGACAGCTGGATAAAGTGATTCCTTTTAAAGCTTCTGTGGCCTTCAAAAACATTCTTGCTGCTTGTGTATTTAGAGCCCGGAAGCAAAGCATTGTTGCCTCAGTGAAACGATAAAAGCTACTTCTGCTTTGTTGACTGATTGGGAGAGGAAAGATAAAGCTGTTATTTTTGAAAGGAAAATGTCAAAGTGGTTGAACATTTGTCTAAAAACATTGGAAACTTCTCCTTGAGTGCGAATGAGCTGGTTTCTGCAATTTAGCCCGATGCTTTTGTGTTCATAACTAATTGTAATGACGGCTTAATGGAATGTCACTTTTGGGATTCTTTTTGCTGTTTTTCCGCACTGCTCCCAGACAAAAAAAACACAAACATCAAAAGGCTTCATGATTTGGTCGCTAAAAATACCGTTCCACCATGAAATCAAGAATCTCTCCTGACTTTGCAGCCTCCTTTCCCCTGTCGTTTTTATTTTATTTTTATCCTTCATACGTTCCTGGAACTGTTCCTCCTGCTGGGTGACAGCGCCTCCGTTCCCATGTCCTCTGCGTCTTCTGCATGTGGCCTCTGGTCTCTGGAATATTTTCTATGTTTGCGTGATGACCCTGTCACCCTGAGGGGGGAGAGATCAAGTGCGAAAGTAAGTGCAGAAAATAAACAGAGTTAAAAATATGAAAGCAAACGTCCTAAACTCAAGGGAGAGCTGCAGTTGTTGCCTGCAGATTTTTGTGGTGAGGGATAAGTAACTCATGTCACTTGCAAATGAACATTTGATGCTACCCCTACCGCTTTATTTTTTCCTGTTTTATTTCTATTACACATACAAAGACAGTTGGTTCAGTGACACACTGACTCACAATCACTCCAGAGGGCAATTTGCATGCATGATTTTGAAGGAAACATGCAAACTGAGTGCTTTAGCTCATCTGAAGCAACACTGAGGGACAGGGGACACCCTAATCAGGTCATCGGCAAAACGCGAAAAACATAAACATAAATACATAAATACGAACACTTCAGTCCATACATGTTTACTCCCAACCTGGTTGCAGACTGGAGCCTGTCCCAGCTGATGACAGGAAAGGCATGGGGTTCACGAAGGCCAGTCCATCACAGGGTCACACAGAGACAAACAACCATACACACTCACTCACAATCACTCCAAAGGGCAATTTGCATGAATGCTTCTGAAGGAAACATGCATGTACTACTGAGTGCATGCAGTGGGAGGAATCAACCGTGTAATTTGCATTTGGAGTGCATGCTGTGCATTTTTTAACATTTGTTTTTAGATGTTTTGCCATTTCTGTACTTTTTGTCAATGCCTCAGTTGAGATGTGTTTGCAGGAGATCCTCAACCAAATTTGGATTCATTTGAATTTGAATTTGTTTCAAAGGTTTTGTACACGGGGTACTTGTAGATGCTTGCAGATGCTTTAGAATTAAACTGCAGTAGCTTTATCATTTCTTTTGAATTTCTTTTAAAAAATCATACAGTGTGCCTTTGATGAACAAAAATAAAAATGACCAACAACTTGATTAACCTTGCTTCACCTCTGTGTTCTGTTGCTCTGTCTAATATCCCTGGATGGGACGGTGAGTGGGAGGTGACACCCGAGCTGTTTTATTCAGTGATAGCGCGAAAACTACACAGCACATGGATGAGGTGAGCAGCCTCCTGCAAAGTGTACCAGAGGTGCAGCCTCGAAGCTCTGAAATTGCTTTCCATCAGATGTCAGCCTCCAGGTTACACCAGAAAATGTGGCTAGTATTTTGCTTTCCTTAAAGTTTGTGGGATACAACAACACAATAACACAAATAAATGTTTAAAACTGCAGTTTTCATACCCAGTAAATGTAAAAAAACTCCTAAAGATAAGTCAGAAGCACATAGTTTAATGGCATTATATTGATTTCTCACAGAAAGGTTTGCTGGTTCAAATCCTTTCTGTGTGAAGTTTGAATGTTCACTCCAGGTACTCTGGATAGCTATAAACCTCCAATGAAAAACACTAACAGCCCCCTTTTTTTTTTTACCTTAAAGTCTGACTTTAAAGATGCAGAGAAATCGAGCATGTAATTTGCAAACAGTTGGAGGCGTCTAATTCTCGTGGTTATGGGCTGCATGATGATCTCAACATAACAGAGTGTTGTTGATCAATCAGACACACTCGGCCAGAGAAACAAGCTGCAATCCAGCTCTCCACCAGCTTCCATTCCTCTGTGATCTCCGCAGTACTTCAGATGTTGGTTTGGCCTCTCGGGGTCAGCGTCTCGTCGCTGTGATCAGACGATAATTGGCAGAAGCACTGCAGGTCGCTAATTAGTGCCGGAGTCCTTGGTGGAGCCACACTGGGACCCCAGCGCTGCTCTCTGACTCTTCTGCTCTTTCATCTCACTCAACACTCGACTTCTTTTTGTCTCTTTTGTTGGTCAGATGCTCTTTTAAGCTCACGCCCATCGTCAATTTCTGTTCAGTGTTTTTTTTTGCTTCTTTATCGGCTAACTGTCTTTAGCTCTCTTTTTGATTAACCAGATCCAAAACTTTAGAGAGGTCACATGAAAGCTGACAAACATGACACTCAGCTGAAAAAAGTCCCCATATAAAAAGTGTTACGAAGGAATAATAATAAAAAAAAAAATGTAATTACTTGACAGCATCTCTTATGAAAGTATTTCTTTAAATTTGGGACTAACATTCTCTTCAATCTTCCGTTTCCATTTCAATCTCCGTTTCAAACCTGTTTAGAACAATTTCTCAGATACGTACTTCCCTCTAGTTTTATGGATATTTGTGCCCTGTTCTCATTTCTTAGGAATAAATCTTTTTTCTGATCTAATTTCTCTGAAGCACTCTGTCCTTTGTTTCTCTAAACCTCCATCTTCAGACAGCCTTTGATCCTTTTCAGTCCGACCTCTCATTTTGACTGCTCTGATTTCCAACAGCTGTCATCATCATGAAGCCGTGTTATTGTTTTGTCGGTGTGTTGCGTGTGTTTTTTCTGTTAGAATTTGCATTTTTTGTCAATGCTAACTTTATGCTTCCCTCTTAGTCTAATTTGTAAAGAGATACTTGCTTGGATAACAACTGCTTTTCACTGAAACAGGGACTTATGTCTGCAAGATGAAAAGTTTATCTTAAGTTAATCATTTTAATGATTGGCCTTAGCAAGACTTCCATAGTGGCACGTCTGCCTTTCTTCTGTCAATTTGTTTCTTTTAATACAATTCTTCTCTTTAAATGCAACTTCATTTTTATTGGATTCATTTTTGCTGCCTTCTTCTTTCACACTTGGACCTCCTCCCCTCTTTTCTGCAAATGGACAGCAAATTTCAAGTTCAAAGGAAAGGACAGGAAGCAGTGGGGAGCCCGGAGATGAGCCGGGGAGTTTCTGAAGGGTCTGAACCTCCCATAGTGGAGCGGAGGAAAGAGGAAGCTGCACAGAGGGATGCAAAAACACAGAAGAGATGCTGCCATTTGGAAATTCACACCTTATGTTTGACTCCTGCAATCTAAGAAAGAGGAATCTTTTGACCTGAATGAAGCTGAAGGTTAAAACTTTTCTGTCAGACAGCTGTGTTTAACTTGGTGAACTCATGCAGAATTGAAGCCTCTTTCAATCCTTCATAAGTTTCCTGTGTCTTTGTAAAAGTGAAAGGAAGTTCTACGAAAAGTTGAAATTATAAAACAGGTTTAAAAAAATGGTTAGAATTCCCATGATGGTCATTTACATTTTTATCATTGGTAAGTCATTCTGAGTTTATATTATACAAATTATATTATAGCAAATTGTCTTGTCAGCATAAATTCGTCCCAACTCTCAGTTGTCTACAGACTTGTTGCAGTGGGCTAAGGACTGGTTATTTTTGCCATTGCAGTTCTTTTACTTTACAGAAGAGAACCACTTCCAGGCTTTGGCTTCCACTTAGCATCCAGCTGCAGCCTGCAAACATCTGTCTGACAGGTCTTCCATTTTACTGCATAACATCCAGTACACTGGAGCCTGAATATAATCATTACACAAGTTATCAGAATTCTAAACATCTTTTAACATATAAGGTTGGGGGAAATCTAAATCAGATAATTATTGGTTTTTATATCCAAGAAATTTGTATGACCTTCCAGTGTTTGATTTTGTGGGTGTGAGTTCTGATCCAAAA